AATATGAATGAAAAAAAGTATAAAATAAATATAAAACAAATTTTCAATTTTCTCACACTGATTCTAATGGAGTGGCAAGAGTGTCTAAGGATCTAAAATGAAAATGTGTGAAAATAGTGGCAAAAATATTTCCAAGAAAAACGAACAAATATTCTTATAGTTTTTTTTTCGGGTATTTTATAACATATCCATTGTTTAATTAATTTTCGTTTCCAAATAATAAGATCAATAACAAAGATAACAACTAATAACGGAAAAATGACTATCCATGCAATTGAAGTTGAATCTGGAGCGACTAGAAAAACATCATTCATTCATCTGATGACAAAAAAAATCATAATATAAAATGTTCAATTTTACCAATTATAGGTGACATTGTTTTGAATGCTGTTGATAAAACATAAGTCCAATCAATTAAATTTGAAGAAGTACAACCGTCAATTAATACTCTTAAAAAACGAACAATAATATTATATTCTAGAACATTTGATAAATGAGAAAACGAGCTTACTTGTAAACTGTATTTGATCTCAATGGACCATTCCATATTCTTTCACTTTGACAAGTATCATTACCAATTAAAACCGTAAGATTTTATTTTTCTAAAAAAATATAAATAATGATAGAAAACAAAGAGAGATTGTTTTTAGAAACAATAATTATGTCAGAATAGGAGAACAGAATAAAACAAGTTCACAATACCTACTAGTTTATCTACTCATATTTTCAATTTCAATGGCCAGATAGTCAATGGATATATTAGTTTTTGCAAGTTTATAAGTACCATCAAAATCTGGAACAGAATTATTTTTACTTTAATCTGTAAATAATGAAGAAAATTTTGAATAATTTTAAATAAAAAAAAAATCATTTTATACTACCTTGTCTAACATAAATTTTGTATATGATTATCAAACCATTAGTTTCATTAAATAATATTTTGTCAATGACAATAGTTTGTTGTGTTTGTGTTGAAAATGCGTTAATTGAATAAATTTTTTTTTTCTGCTTCAGATGATAATTCAGGTGCTAAAGAATCGTATACTATTAAATTGTAAAGATAAATTACAAATTAAACATGTTCATACATTGTATATTTACCATCTACTAGAGTTGTGTTAACTACTTTATCAAATGTCTCATTGAGATTGGATACAGTGATCAATTCAAGATAATAGCTAAAAGAAAAAGAAAAATAATAAATTTATTGTCTACTGTTTTGATTTATATTAATCTATATGAATGATAAATTAAAACAACTCACTATGTATTGGGTTGTAAATATGTATAATTATAAGAACGCTGTGATTTATTTACATATGTCGGATTTAAGATATCATTAATATTAAGTAAAAAATAATCAATATGTGCCGGTTCATAAATTGATCAATTTAAAAATACAAAGCNCTTATAAACTTGCAAAAACTAATATATTGATCAATTTAAAAATACAAAGCTTTTTCCAAATATCGATTGATTAATAGGGCTTTTGATGGATCTGAAAAACATGAATCATTCTTACTTTTACGTAATAATAGTAATTATTCTTTTGAAATCAGTCCTTTTTTTTCTAACTAAACTTTTGATCATTATTCTAGCATACATAGCTTTAAAGCTAATTTTTTACTATGAATTTTTTTGACTACTCTGTTATCAATGATAATTAAAATTTAAAAATTCACTAATTTTGCATTTTTTAAATAGAATTAATGTGCTGATACTAAAAAAAGAAAGCTCAGTATATCATCTATTCGTATATATAGATGAACATTGATTCAAATCAGTTGATAGAGAATTCAATTGAAGCCAATTTCTTTCAAATTCATGATCATTGCATCATTTACTTACATATAGTCACGTTAAATGGCAGTGTTGTTTTAATAGTATAACCACTTTTAAATGTAGTAAATTGGCATGATTAACGACATCCAAGTGTACCATTTAACATGATCTGTGTAGAACAATTCTCTATGCTTGATGTTATATTTGAGTATATATCTTGTGTATTTTCAGCAATACATGTTGCATTGATTCATTCAAAATCGCTGTGTGGTGTAATATTTACTAACATATTACTCTCCTTAGAAGAATTTGACATATTGTTAACGGTTATAAGTTCTAAAAGGAGACATAAAATTGCAAAAGAGAGTTCTCGCCGACGAATGTATAAAAGGGCTTGTAAAGAGTCATTATAGACTAAACAAATATGTCTTATACTTAGATGGCATACACGATAACAAAATATCGGATTCTTCAAGCTGCTAGAAAAGTTGAAAACAAAGAAAAGTGCGTTGTTCATATCTCCTATATACCGACATTAGGGCGCAACAACATTATGGATTCAGAATTCATTTTAATATAAAACTAAATTCATTAATTTATTTTTCACGATTTAAACGAATACACTCCAAAAGTGAATACTCTTCAAATCGTTCTTGATATTTGGCGATACAACGGTTTTAAAGTCAAACCTGACACTAGATCTGCAACAATTGCTGTAGTTAATACGTCAGGTTATAATACATTGTCTGGTAATCGCTCCCTATAGAAGCCTCAATTTGTCATGAGTTCATCCACTTTATCAAAAAAAAGTTAGCATCGAATATGGTTTATAGAATCCTGGAAGATGTAGAATTCTGTAATCGGTATGCATAATTATGCATACCGAGTTATGCATAACTGGTTAAATTTCTAATATGTAGAAATTATTGCTTCATGAAAAAAATTCTACTAGTCACTAGAATTTAGGATTCTAAAAACTATAGAATTTTAGAATTATAGAAGTTTAGAAGAACGTCTACTTTAGCTAATCTCAAACGTTTATCTAATCATTGAATGGAAATTTGTCTCAGTCGGTCATGTGGTAGTTGACAGTTATAACTTCTTGCTCTCGTTCGTACAAAGAATCATAACACAGGAGCAGAATAGATGTTACAGCACAACTCGGAATCCAGACCGATTTTAATCTGAGTTAATTTAAGTTAAAATCAAGATGCTTATCAAGAACGTCACCATGTTTCGTGTTCATCAAAATCTAAATCGTAAACGCTTTTCGTCTACCACTACATTTTGCTGTCGGTTGTAATCAGAGGACTGAACAGACGCGATGTTTTTAGCAACATCATTTAAGTGTCGTGGTGACATCATACCTTTCTCTTTTTCTGTTCTGCTATGTTTGGTTATTCAACAGAAATGAAACTCGTTGTATGAGTTGTCAAGAAGAATATGGTGCGCCGAAATTCCGACTTTTTCGCCTCTGATTTAGAAAAAATGAATTTTTGAAGAAACCAAATAAAATTTAAAAAGCGAGTCCTGCTGTTAAAGCTGTTTGAAGCCTCTAGAGCCGAGATGAGTTTTTGAACTTTGAAGGATTTTTATAAGTCTCCCTAAAGTCATTTAAAAGTTTAATTTCATGACCAGCCTCTACCAAAGCCACTAGCTACTCTCAATGATGATTCTTGTGAACATTTTTGAATACGTTAGGGTTCGACTCGAAAAATTGTTTGGAATAGACTTGCGTAGAAAATAAAACGATAGGAAACCTGCTGGTTTTGTATTCTTAGATACTACTGTAGCGCTCATAAATGAATGCACGTATGCGGTTCTAAGTACATTATCTATATCTATCCACGACTGATTCACGAACCATTAAAAATCATTACTCTCTTTCAAATGGTAGTAAAACGAGCTCGTTACTGCCAGTACACTTCATTATTGTGTCGTTAAAATCATTAAAATCAAAAAAACTGTAGTTAGGACTGACTATTTTTGATGTTGAACATCCAATATTATCCAAAGTAAATTCTCTGCAATAGATTAAGGTATCTACACATATTCTACCATTAGTGGTAGACGAGAAGCGTTTACGATTTAGATTTTAATGAACACGAAACATGGTTGCTCAATGCCAGACAAAATTGATATTTCTATTAATCATCTCTCTCTCTCTCTCTCTCTTAAAAGCTTATTTCAAACTTTTATAAAAAAAGGTTCTGTTTAATGAATGATAAAAAATCGCTTGTGTAAAAATTCTGTTTTATTTTTTTCGAGTTATACTTGTTAGACGCCTTCAAAATTCAAATCAATCACGGATATTATTTGATAAAGGAAATGAAATTTATGAACTTACTGAATTAATTACATTACTACGGGCGGTATGTAATAGATATTTTATTCTTGTTTCATGCTGTTTAATAGTTATAACTGTAGTTAGTATCATTTAAGTAATAGAGAGCTCGACATTAATTGTTGTGATTTGTTTTGTATGATACCACAATTATACTTATAAAGAAAATATTTTCTCTTTCCCTTACACGTCTATTTCACGCTATGTTATTGTGACATTCTTTTGTTGTTCAACTTTGTTGTTGTTTGTTTTTATCCAGTGTACTCTATTAGAATAATAAAAGAATATGTATAGATATTAAAGCAGAAAATTGCTCTATTGCACTGTACAAATTATTAGCTTTTCAATTATTTATACTATTTAGTGTGTGTGCTTGTATTATTATTGTTTGTTTGTTTGTTATAACTGATTACAAAGTTGTTCTACAATAAGTTTCAAAAAGGCAATAACTTTTGTTCGTTTTGTTAATAATGGTATTTTCATAATTTATTCTATCACACAGTTGTGTATATTTAACAGAAGAAGAGAGAAAAGTAGATACATACGCTTGTTATTATTAATATGTAACATAAATAATATATATAACATAACAACAATGGAGATTACTCAATTGTCTACTACCGAGAACGAAAAGATAATTTATAGTGCAGATACATACTCTATAAACATCTCCGACGTCGATATACGTGATATTCTAGTAGCTGTCAAGCTCAACGATGCATGAAAATGGTAACTATCATTGAAAAATATAGCTAAAATTATTCTGTTCATTTTTTAATTAGAAAATGACGCTATGGTGATGAACGTTAGAGAAGTTGAAAACTCCCTTTTACAGACTTGTATAAGTAAATTTTCTCATGAGATTATCTTATATTAAAATATTCTAGTTCAGAGTAATATTTGTCGAGATAGTCAGTTAAGCAAGATGTTCGATAATGTAATAGTCTATTGAACTGATTAATGAGGAATTATAATGCGAGAGTGTACATCTCAAAATATTTAAAGGTTATATTTTTCTCGTTTCATTCTCTGTTGTTACGTTGTCATGTGTTATATATCCAGAAACAAGACCGAAATATCGAATAGTATTAATTAATCTGGCTAGTGTTACTCAAAAGGAAACAATGTATCAGTTCAGTGAAACGAGTCTTAACATTTATTTGAAAAGTAAAAAGATTTACACAGATAAAGAGTAGCAGCCGGAATTTTATTCTGACTGATACCCTTTGTCTGTCTCTTACATATGTGTTGGGCTTTTCCTGGCGCCTTAGTTTAAGGCAGACAAATAGATGTATGTAAATATCATTTCGAAAGGCTAATGAAAAGGTTATTTTACGACGTTATAGGAAGTAAATCATCCGCTAATTTTCTTTTGTGTCATAGTCTTCTGTAATAGAACTATCGTTCTAACGGACTTATACTATCGAAATAGGATTAATAAGTCATTCAGCTTAAATTCAGAGGCTATAAGTTTTTTATGAAATAACGGATCAGATCTTAATGCTTTTCAGACTTGTTCTTAGACTAATGAACTCAACTATTTGGCAAACAACTTAAGGCACAATATTTTTAAGCAGACTTCTTTTTTTACAATAATCAATCGTATAATCCGCGCGTTGCTGATTCGGATGACTGTGGGAATTTTAAAGGACAGCTTAACGTTAACTTTACTATAATACAAAGGTGATAACCTAAATGAATCAGCCGGATGGCTCTACAATTACTAGCGTTAGGAAAATAGATCTAACTAGCGACCATCAGTTTGTAGAACACATCGCGTTACAATGCAGAAATATTTTCGAAAATAGAGAATCAGTTTCTCTAGAGTTATAAAAGTTTCATTTTTTAATTTAGCGCAAGACTTTAAGATTTCAATACTGATTTCAGTGGAACCCATTCCTTAAAGCGTTTCTACATGGTAACTCGATGTGCTCAACAAACTGGTAGTATTAGGACGTGTCCGATTCAAGGGTCATGATGATCTTCTCGATACTCGATTTTCTACGTTCATCCAAGAAGTCCCTATGGAGACAAATAAATATTAGATTCGTAATCAGTATCAAAAGTTACCTTTAACAAAGTTGTATTCTCAGAAAAAGATACTGATTATTTGACCAAGTTTCTTCGCAAACACAGTAAATTATATTTTCAGCACTCTGCTACCTCTATGTAATTTCGTCACGATTTTTTTACATTTTATTTCTATAATTTTCTAATGAAGACACGTTCCGAGGGCTACAATGTCTCATATCAAAGAGCAAGTTGTGCTGTATAGTTTCGGACTTTCTCACACTTAACACATTGAGTGTGAGGCGGTGAGAAAGTACCAAAATATTCTGCACAACTTACTCTCTGATATGAGACGTTGTAGCGCTCAGAACGTGTCTTCATTAGAAAATTATAGAGGAAATAAAAATGTAATGCAAAATAAATGTAAAAAACTCGTAATGGAATTACACAGAGGTAGAAGACTTTACTTGGCCAAGCCGTTTTGTATTATAATTAACAATCATTTTATGCGTATTCGATGACAGAACAAATTAATGATAGAAAACTTTTTATGAGCATATAAATCAGATCAATTTGCCACTTTTACGTTTTTTAATAGTATGTGATGAACCTCTTGGAATATTTTTTATATGGATATCTCGCCAATGACAACAGTATCAACGCCGGTGAATATTCAGTGGCATCTCTCTGTTCTTATCGTATGCCTTATTCTTTTGGGTATTGTAACAGTATTCGGTACTCTCTTAGTTATATGTGCTGTTTATCATGAAACGTCTTTACATACATCGACCTACTATTATGTTACATCACTCGCATTTGCCGATCTACTCGTTGGTCTCATCGTAATACCATCAGGAATCATTGTGGAAATGACAGGTGGTTATTGGCCATTGAACAGATTTCTTTGCGATATAAAATTATGTATTGACGTATTTGCGTCGACAGCATCCATTTTGGGTCTATGCGCAATAGCACTCGATCGTTATTATGCAATCATTAATCCAATGGCGTATCCAAATTCATTTGTGACAAAGAAATGGTATTATGTCGTCATTTGTTTATGGACATGTGCAGCAATTCTGTCTTTTCCAACTATTGTTTATTGGAGAACAACACTGGCGAATGCAACACAAGGTACTGGTACGTATTTAGTCTAAGATATTTGGTTCTGCTTTGTGGATCAGAAACAATCTCTCTTTTCTGTTAAAGGACAAATAAATCAGACTATTGAAATTCGAACAAAATTTTATCATTGTGAATATCCTAATGATCCCTATTACGTTTTATTTTCATCCATTGTCGTATTTTATTTTCCATTGATTATCATGTTATTTGTATATGTTCGAATATTTTATGTTGCTCGGCGACAGTTACGTTCTTTTCGTGTCGGCATATTAAAACCTGAACGTCAGAATCCTAGATCGATCATACCAAAATTTCAATTAAATCATATGGTATTTATTACACCACAACGATCATTGACCAAAAAACCACCACCTCTTGTCGAAGCACCAACCTCAGCAGTGGTAGACAGTTCACTTCGTATTCATGTTGGCAAATATCAGGGATTAATTCCGACTGATACCATTTCAGTCTCCTTCAATTTCAACTCACATAACCATCTGCGTTTTCTTCATTCATTATCGACAAAAATCTTCAACTATGCTGCTGATCGTAAAGTGGCAAAAATGTTAAGTTTAATTGTTGGAGCATTTATTCTCTGTTGGCTACCGTTTTTCTCATATTTTGTTCTAAGCGGATTCTTTTTTCTTCATTTGAAAACACAATATCCTCAACGTCACGACTTATTGATACGGATATTTTCATGGTTTGGTTACACTAACTCGGCATTAGATTTTTTTGTGTATGCTTTATCATCAAAAGAATTTCGCACTGCATTTATCAAATTGTTATGTAGAAAGAAAGGTAATTCCTAAATAAATGTATAGCCTAAAGAAGAAGGATAATTTCATCTTGGAATCGGCAGTCAGGGATCATTTTTTTGAGTCAGTGCAACGAAGAGATGTTTTATTACCATGGATCAATTTTCATCTTGTTCTATATATGTTGACTTTGCTATAGCTTATGACAACGCAAACCTGCAGATCTCAATGTATGATAACTTGATAACATCAGATTTTCGGCCCTCTCAGTCTATGTAAGATTTGAAATATTCAGGGCAGTAACTGTTAGTTTATTGCATGGCCGTCTCTAATGGGATCCTGCCATTATAATGTATTGCTACTATATATACTTTTGCTCGCTCAAATTGTAGCGGAAACTGGCTTCGCTTAGAATTACAATATATCAAAATCAAACGGATCGATTCACGTCTTTCTGCGTGGATAAAAACCATGACTGGTTGTGCGGGAATATTTCACGAGCGAAAAGAGATCTTCTCATTCTTTTTCACCAATTTGTTTCTCAGCTGATCGTATAGTGAGCTCTCTAGACAGAGCTGCTGTTAATGATTGATATATAAAGGTTAAAAAATAAGTCTAAGTGACACTGTCACAAGCAGAGATGGAACGGGACCGGTCTTTTTCAGTCAGAATAAATAAGATGATGCTCAAGACAGATATTATTTTCATCACTGGTTTTAAAGTTAAATGTTAGAGACTCGTTATTGCGAAGGTTCTCTCACATGTGCTCGCAAACTATTTCATTTCTGTGAGAAATTCTTTCTGAAAATCGATATCCAAAAAATTTCGCCAGTTTTTCGCCGGTTTGAGTTATTATCCGTCTGGTCCGATTACACTTTCAGACCGGCCGGACCGGACCGGTTTACCGTTTCTCAACCGGTTCCAGCTCTGGTCACAAGCCTGTTAATTATAGGGTATATATTCAAACTGACACTTGTCAGCACTCTACAGTAGTAACATTAGTCGTAAGGCAGGATATTCTCCCGTTGTCCTGATCACACAGGATTTTGCTATTACTTTGAAACTGGACAGGTTTGATACGGGTGCTGTTGCCTTGCTTGTTGGACTTTGTTTCAGTTGAATCATTTTTCTTCTTTCTCCAAGCATAAATTATTTCATAAACGTATTGTTTTATGACTTTTAACTTCTGTTCATCCTATACTTACTTTTCTTAATTTTATATTTAACATAGCTAACAACAGCTTAAAACGAATGAATTTTACATAGCATAATCACGCACAATAAGAAACCTGCATGAAATAACCTTCACTATGCTGAAACCTTTTTGGCTCCTGGTTATGTAGAATTTCAAGACAAAAATTCTAGTTGATGGTTGAATAAAACTCAATCGGACTAGTTGGTTGCTATTTTTTTCGAAATCGGTTAAAAACCAGCAAATACATCTATATAAGTGACCGAAAATATGAGTGATTATATGCTTATTTTTCTTCCTAACTCTGTTGGTACTTGCTCTCTCGAAAGTGTTCAACAATTTTTAAGAGAGTGTACATGCACGTCAAGGTCCATAGTTGGACACCTGAAAATATGAAATTTCTCTTCATTCTTCAACTTGGATAATGCAGATTAAAACTTGAAAAATTTTCAGTGAATCTCGGATAAATATTATTTAAAAAACGTTATCGTTCTTGCTATTAAGGTCCTAATATATTCTTATCTAATCTTGAAAAAGTCTTAGACAATACAATCTTAGTAAGATCTTAGAAAAATCTTGTTAAGATCTTAGTAAGATTTCGCTTACATTTGTCTAAGATCTTAGAAAAATCTTATCAAATCTTAGAATTTTCGGGTCTCATGATCTTAGTAAGATTTGTTTAAGATCTTAGAAAAATGTAAGCGAAATCTTACTAAGATCTTAACAAGATTTTTCTAAGATCTTAGTAAGATTTGAGTAAGTTTTTCACTAGGGTTCGAAGCCCTCTATCGATGGATAAAGTAAAATAACACTATTAGCCTCTAGCCACATGTGTTTTCGTCATTTTAAGACCGTCTCGAGCTCAACCCGATCTTTCGCTACTGAGAAATCTTGCAACTACGAACAGCTTGACTGTCGACTTGTTGACTACATTTACCAACGAAACGGCTATGAACACATCCCTGTAAAACATATCAAAATATACAAAAGTGTCGGTGTACAAGTGTTGAGACTGCATAAATCGTATAAAGCCTACCCTAATAATAATGAATAAAGCTTCTCTGACGGACGAATCTTCAGAAATCTTTGTTGATATTCCTGTAGGCTTTTCAGAACTAGTTTAATATTTTCTCAACTTTTCAGCAACTGAGCTTTAAACTAAACGTCAAATTTTGTAATCAGTGCTAGAAAACTAGAAGTGCTAGTATATTTGACAAACATTAGTCGATGTTAAATACTCCAATGTAAATTTTTCCCCGTAATGTTTCTATAATCAATTCCCCATAATCAATTTTTTTAAGAAGAAAATTTAATTTCTCAAGAAATATGATTTTTAGCCATGTTCGAAAAGAAGTCTGAGCCTATGAGAAATCCATTAAAACTGTTTTCAGTCATGAGAAAATTTAACTCCGCCGAGCTGAGTCTCGACCGTATAGAGCGCATCTGTCTGAATCATTAACAAAAACGTCTACATTTACGGTAGTCCACTGTGCGCTGAAGCTAATTCGGATACTGTTTTAACATGATTTTAACTTATAGACCTATTTACTTAAATTTTGACTGTAAGCGTGTATGTGTGTATCTCATCATTAAAATTTTCTTTGTTGACTATCTCACCGCCACATTCTGGAGTACATCTGTTTTCTTTCTCACCACTATAGAGATTGTTGATTATTGATTTCATTTGTATGCAACAAAATATCTAGTTGGTAAAAGGAAAAGAAGGACGAAACATGAAGACGATTGTTATTTTAGTACTTGTAATCAGTCTGGTTCAATTGTGGTATTGCTCAGCTCTATCCATTGGTAAGTATAATTATAAGAACTGGACTGTAGCTATTTTTTATCTGTTCGTTCAGATGCTGATATATCTGATCGTTTGGCTAAGTTACAATTCCGAAGTTTACCACCAGAATATCAACAAGCACTGTTAGAAATAAGAGCCACACGTAAAACTACTAGAGATGATCAAAGGTAAAGCTGAATGTCACTGATGTAAACCAAAAGTGATATCATACAATTCTTAAGTTCATGGTGCTGTAAAAATGGCCAACCTGTTCCCATGAAGGTCATAACAACAACATATATTAAGTGGGAACCAACTGGTCAAACACAAGCCGTTGTTGACGGTCATGATAATTGTGGATTTGCTGGTTGGTCAACATGTACACGTTATAGAATTGAACATATGTTCGTATAGTTTCCATTGTAGAAAAAAAATCTATAAATAATTTTCTTGCTGTGTTTTGCTTTAGTCCAACATCTCACATTGAAATGGGTCATGAGGTAGTACCAGATATTGAAAATAGTCGTTGTCCAGATAATCATGTTGTTTGCTGTAAAGGTCTAATGCCCGTCGCCAGCTTTTGCATGAGTACGTAGATTCTGTATATAAATATATATAAATTAAATTTTTAGAATGCTTTACAAACGTTTCTTTTGGTTGTAGCTATTGCTGAATTCAAAGAAGTTGTGGCTCAATGGACAGCATTACAAAGTACTCAACCAAATGCTCTTTTAGCTGATCTCATTGTCACATTGCATAATAATGGCTTAGATGTGGGAAAATAACAGGCTGCTTTTTTTGAACGAATTTAATGGTCATAATTAAAGCAGACCATCTTTCTTTGAGAATAAATGCATTTTCCAAGAAAATACTGTTTTGCTCCATTAATCTGTCCAAAATACTTTGCTATCTTCCATTAAGACCTCTTTATGTGAAATTTTGCTAATAATAATGTCAGTTTTTGTCTTCAACAATGAATAATTGGATGGGTATGTGCGCTCTTGAAAGTAATATACGCATTAAAGTGTTAAAAGGCGATGAACTAGGTTTAGAATTGGTATGTAGTCGCATAACAGGGATGCTCAGTTATCCGCTGGGTCCTCATACATCACAAACAAATTGAGTCTCGACAAAAAAATTCAATATGATAATGTTAGTGTGAATGGCATACTACTGCCACCGGCCCAGATAGCACTGGCGCATGGTCGTCCCTAGCAATTGTTAGCGTATTTATTATTTAGCCATAAGTATACCGCGCCACACCTACAGTTCTCTTATAAAAAGGAAAAGACGAAGTGAAAAAGACGTTCGAAATATTATAAATGTACCGTGTACTGTCGATATACGAGCTTTTTTAACATTTCTTGAACAAAAGAAATAGCTTGCAATCTCTTATATTGCGAAACCTGTGATCATTGTGTGCGATAGCTGCGTTTAATCTGAGGGGGAAAAAGCAGCTCCCGGTACCACCAGCATCCGATGGAACTCAGTGGAACCCAGTAGAACCCTGTGAAGCTGTCGCCAGCTTCGGTGGTACCAAGTGGCTCCACATGAGTTTCACTCAGCGCCAGTGAGTGCCACTCAGCTTCAATGAGCTCCACTCAGCTCCAATAAGTTCCAATGAGTTCCAATGAGCTTCAATCAGTTCCATTCAGTTCCACTCAACTTCAATGAGTTCCGAAGGGTGAGGCCCATTGAAACTGAGTAGAACTCATGTCGAGCCACTTGGTACCACCGGAGCTGTGGAGCTGCTTTTTCCCCCTCGGTTTAATCTCTGTTAATTTTCTTAACTGATGGAATGCGTACAATTTGAAAATATAGTACCATCAAACCTATCCATGCATTCCTTTTTTTGCATTGGTTTTCATATGAAACCATGGAATGGATGTTATCAAGGTTACTGTTAATTTGATACTGAGTGTGAAATAGAAGTGATACCTAACTGTGTATTAATAAACAGCACACGTAATACGGCTTTTATACCATGCTTTTTGACGGAGTTATGATTTTTTTAAAATATAGGCAAGGCTCTGAGCCGGGGAAATAGAAAAATTATTAACTTTTGAAAGAAGAGTCATACACCCAAATCCTTTTTGGGGTTATTACTAGGACACTATATAGTATCTATCAGTCATAAACACGCCGTTCCAACCTAAAAAATCATTTTTTATACGAAAAGTCACTTCCTCACCTGACAAAAAAAACATACTTTTCTTACTTTATATTTTTCAATCTCATTTCGTATCTACAGCGGTAAGTCATTCAATGCATATCACTGTGATTTAGAAGAAAATTTCCAAAGGAAGGGTGAATCTAATCGAAAGTTTAACACCTAAATTGATGTATAAAAAATGATTTTTCAGATTTGAACGGCGTGTTTATGGTGGTTCTGAATAATTATATGCTATTCAACGATAGAATCCAGATAAGAGAATGTGCCTCTAGTGAAGCCTCTTATACCCAAGATCTTAGCTGAGTATGCAGATCGTCGCAGCTCTTACGTTTTCTTCTGCTATTTGGCTGTTTGTATGTAATAAAATAAAAGGAGAATAAAACAGAGTTATCAAATCTTATTCAGATCCTAATCAATATCTAGGTGAAACACACTAGTGTTTTTTGCGTAACAAGTTATACCTAAGAAAGGTCTTACTTCAGAAAAAGCTTATACCAACCACGAAAAGAATCAAAAACTTTTAAAGAATGTTTCATTTTGAAAAAAACATTTTATCCTACAAGACTAAGTGTACAAAAGAATTTTTTTATGTACTAAAAAGGAAAGAAAATTTCGTATAGAACATAGAAATTTTTTGTTACATCATCGTCTGTCGTTTTTATTTGATACGGATCCGATCCGTTTCGATCTCTGACTGATATAGCCCAACTTGATATTATGATATTGAAACTCAAAACTTTTTTAAAGGTGTTGATGCTCCTGATACGGGTAAACAGAGTATGATAGTTGATAATTACAATACTTAACTACTATAAGAGAAGAACTTTCAAAAAACAGCCAAAGTTTGATAAAGTATTGTATGTCACAAGAAGTGTGACTTGAGGTGATATTCTGATTAGTTTCAAGGTAAGCTTGAGACTTGAAAAAGTTTCATCAGAGACTCAAGTAAACTATGGAATCAGTTGGACGATGACTTGTGTAGTGATCGTAAGTACAAATGCTTTAAATTATACTTCGATTCATCTTTCCTAGAATCCTTCCGAATTCCTGCTGTTAACAACAGAAAACTTGGGATTGATTATACGAGATGCAGACTTGGTTTTCCACAATTAATGAACCCTTATTCGTAAGGCAACTTGTGCTTTCATTAGATTGTATTTGTGGAGATGATAAGGAATCAACTAAACATTTCTTTATGCGTTATACTCGGTATGATGCGCCACGTCAAGAGATGTTACAGCTTCTCGCGAATATTTTTAAAATTAAAACGATAACAATTGATCACGTTTTGTTGCATCATAGTTTGATAAGAGCACTCTGGAAAGAAGATCTGGTCGACGTATATAATACTTACTCGAGTTAATACATGCAATACTGCGTGCTAACAAAAACTTACGAATTGTTTTTTCGGGATTATTTTAGACCGGACATTTTCTCCTTTACTATGCAATATACAATTCAGAAATTCTGAGACTTTGTAACTCTGAATATTTCGAAATTCAAATAATACTGACCTCCCAAACTTTTAAGCTTCTGAACTTCTGCGATTCTGAAAATCTAAATATTTTCGAATTCTAAGAATAGCACTATTCTAAAGTTCGGAGATTTTAACAATCTCAAATTGTGAAATTCTAAATATTATTCAATTGAGAGAATAGTTACTGTAAACTTCTGAGATTCTGAAATTATAAATATTTTTCAATTCATAAAACAGTGTTATTCAAAACTTCCGAGGTTCTGCGATTCTGAAATTGTAGAGATTTCTCAATTGAGAGAATAGATATAAATAACGGAGCAGAAGAAAGTTGTTACTATGGTCACCATTTTAAATTCCCGTTTTTTATGGATACCTCCATTGCCAAGTCATCCATAAATCTATGGATAGACTTTATGGATGACTTGGTTTGACCTCGTAGCGGTCACACATACTCATTTTCACATTTCTCAGACCAGACGACCTATTCCATATCACTTTCATCCAACAAACCTGAGATATACATTTGGACCAATAGAATCTCCAATAGAGTCTCCATTCTTGAGCACCTGCTGCGTTTCATTTTCATCCGTTCAAGTGCAAATGATGTTTTCGGCCAATAGGATGCACCTTAGAGGTCGCGCTTCCTCATTTTCTGATTCGCTATAGTCGACCATATACTCCATATCATTTTGATCCAATCAAGTTCTGCTCTACTAGATTGTGTGTCGCTAGCATCTAGTCTGCGGACATATATACAAACATACATACAGGTATTTTATGAGTGACATTGTGTCGCATTTAAACAAATATGCATTGTCAAAAGTTCGCATTCTCTCCTATATGAAGAGAGACTTTGAAGCACAAACGAGAGAGAATAGCAAGGTGCATACTCACTCTCAAATATGTATGAAGAGAGGCTTTGAAGCACAAACGAGAGAGAATAGCAAGGTGCATACTCACTCTCAAATATGAGTGTCGATTTTGCCATAATGTCCCACTTTGCTTGAAAATGTGAAATTGAATGCTTGTTGTATATTTCGGCAAAAGTCCGACTCTGACCACTTGAAAATCATGAAGTCTAGAAATCAAGGAATTTGTAACTCTCTGAGCCTATTTTATGAAATGCATGCTACCTACAGAAAAAGAAAACTTAAAAAATATTAAAATTTGGTTTTGTATTTAGGAAAAGCTGTCTGGACAGAATCACGTCTTCAGGACTTTGTATCTCTGTCCTCATACTCTGTTTGCTGCTTAAGTGAGTAGCGTTACTTCAGAACATACAATCGGTTTCCAAGTGTGTAATCATCATCTTCTAGAGCCATTATAAGAGAGCTGAAAAAGTCCACTTTTTTTTTCGACAGGCGGATTGAGGTGAAATTTTGGGTAATAAATAACGACTATTAGTTAAACATTTTCTGAAAGTTTCATCAATGACGTCTCAGCGGTTGCGAAGATAATTACTTTTATAGAAGGCGCTAAGTGAGTAGCGTTTATTCTCGTTGAACATAGCGCTGTTGAACAAAAGTGATTGTTGCAAAGAAACGACAACGTCTGGATTATTCATGATTTAAAGCTGTTTTAGAACATGTTTGCCGAGTTTTCTAGGTTTTCTGAGTAACTGTAGTCTCTTCTGTTGCTTGGTTACAGAACAGAAATCCTATCAAATGACAATTCTAGATGATTAACAAAAAGAGAAGAAACTATAATTGAACTATAGAGATCAAATGTACCGCTTTCAGTCTTATCCTCTTTTGACCTTATAACTTTCCATTTGCTATATACGCGCTGCAATAGACAATGGGATAAGCTAAGAAAAGCACTAATTTTATATTTTAACCGAAATAGTTCATTCATCTTGTAATGTTCACAAGTTAAACAGAGTCATTTGTTACGTTTCTCTCATCTAGGTTAGAGAACGTTTCAACATATATTCCGGTCGGTCGGTCGCTATTCCTCTATTCTCCGACTATTCCGCTATTTGCGCTGTTTCCCTATTCCAAACGGACTTAAAATACACACAAAAGAACTTGAAGATCTAACAATTACAGCAAAACAGAAGAATTTTAATTTAATAATCTAGTATGCAATCGACAACATTCTTTATTTATGGCATCTCTGAATATTTTAATGTTCTT